CCCTCGAGCTTGGGGGTGACCCCGCTAGCCCAACGCCCCCCGCTAGCCCAGCACCAGTGTGTTGGACAGGGCCAAGCAGTGTGTTGGAGCATTTGGGGGACAGCACCCCGGATCCAGCCAGGGACCTCTGCCAGCACCCGGGAGAGGGTGTCCTGCCGCCAGCAAGGGCAAGCAACCAGGGCAGCGTGCCCGGGCTGACGTGGGAGGCTGCAGATCCAAAAGCCCAGGGAGAGGAAAGGGAGCCTGGGGGGTTTCTTCTGGCAGGGCAGAGCGAGGCTGGGGTGCTGGCAGAGGAGGAGGAAGAGGAGAGGCAGGGAGGCATGGCTGAGCTTGCTGGGGAGAGCACCATGGATGTACCAGGAGCTGGCTGCGAAACCAGGTGCTCGAGGGGTGGCGTGGGTGATGCGCCGGTGCTCCCCGAGGAGAATACCCCGAAGCACAACATGGGCAGCCCATCCCAGCTCCCACCCAGCAAGGAGGAGAGTGCTGCCAGGGCCAGGGATCCCAGTGAGGAGGGCATCCCGGTGCCCACTGCGGAGGGAGCAGGCAGCACTTCTGCCTGCCCAGATGGCAGCGCCGGGGCTGAGAGTGGTCTGCTGGGTTTTGGCAAGGAGCTGGTGAGCAGCACATGGGAGGGGGCATGTCCAGAGAGCCGCAAGCCCCCGCTGCCCCTGGAGCTGCTGTGCTGCGGCATAGAGGGGCTCTCGCCCGTGGCCTGGGTCGAGGAGCCAGCAGGGGCAGATGAGGACACAGGCTCACCGCAGCAGCACCCGTGCAGCCGGGAGGCCAAGGAGGAAGAGGGAGGTCTCCGCAGTGGCTCCCCGAAGGTAGAGCCCCCCAGTGCCGGGACCCTGAGCCAGGCCAGCCCAGGCGCTGAGGAGAGCTGGGACGCGTTGTTCAATGATGATGGGGACTGCCTGGACCCGCGCCTGCTGGAGGAGGTACGTCCTGCGAGCCGGCGCCCACGGGGATTTGCAGGGATGGTGGCTGCTGCCTGCTGGGATGCGGGGGGCGGGGTCCGTGGGGGTCGGCTGTCCCTGTGTCCTCTGGGGTGGGCGCATGGAGGGGCAGGCTGCACCCGGGGCACGTGGCCAGCCTGGCTGTGCTGCCTGCTGTCACCACAGCTGTCACCCCAGCCGTCCCCGAGGGCACGAGCTGCCTGTGGTGCCGAAATGCCTGGGACCTCCACCTTCCCCCCTGGCTCGTTCCCATCCCATCCTGTGGTGCTGGTGGAGGCTGGGGGAGATCTCACTATGGTACATAAAATGCACCCAGTAAAACCTGCTTGGGCGCCGTAAACTGCAACTGCACCCTCGTGAAACTGGGGCTGGTGATAAAGAAATGGGCTGAGACGTATGGGCTCCCATTGAAATAGCAACGGGATGTTTCCTCGAAACTATGGCTTCTTAATCAGCTGTGGCTCGTTACCATCCCCTCCTGCACGCGTGTGGCTGAATTTACTACAATTAGCTGCTTAGCACTGGGACCCACGCCGTTTTCCTGACATTCGCGAGGAAAGCTCGGCTTCTGCAGCAAGGCTGGATATCCCTTATTGCATTTTAAATCAGTAGCATCAAACTGGTAATTTTCCAAATGACATTAATGTGCCCAAAGTAACAAACAGTGCTAATATTGTTACAGCCAGCGTCCATCCACCCCAGGCTGGAAGCAGGGTGTGAATTGGCGGATGGTGCCTGATAACAGCTGCTGGGAAGGGATGAGATCAACTCAAGATCATCGTTACTGAGGAGCACTGGTACCCACCTCATCCGTGGGGCTGTGCTCGGGTTGGCATGCCCTCGCCAAGCCTGGTGTGGGGCTGGGACAGGGAGATTTGGGTACCCCATCCCTGGCTGTGCTCTCCCCAGCCAGGAGGTTGTGGTGAGCGCTGGCGCAAGGGGGATGGTGCTGCTCCGACGGCAGCCGGTGCACGTGGCACTGGCACTGGCTTTCCGTGGGGCTGGCACGGGGGGACACGGCTTCGTCCTCAGGCGCAGCGGAGCAGCTGCTTGGCCCCGCTGGGGAGGCAGGTCAGGGAGTGCCTGTGTTATGGTGCAGCCGTAGGATGCTGTGGGCAAGGTTGTGCCGTGCAGCACCAGTGCTAACTGTGGACAGCTCTGGAGCATCCGTGTGAGCTCCCCCGTGCACAAGCTCTGAGCAAAGTTTGAGCTTTCCAGGGAGTTTCCCAAAATGGGTGAATAAGAACCTGAAAAAGGGATTTTTCAATTAAAAGTTGCCATCTTCACCCCCCTGCAGATTCCCATGCTGAGCCTGGTGCTTCCTGAGCCCTTCAAGCTCTTGGCATGCAGACGTGGCTGCTCAGGGAGGGTGCAGGCTCTTGGGGAGAGGGAGCTGTTGTTAATTAACAAAAAGGACAAGAAAATTAGTAGCGTTCTTCCTCATAACTGAATCCTTATGCACTGCGGATAGCTGGCAGAGAGCAAGATTTATGATGTTCTGTGTGGAGGAGAGATTTCTGATAGCGGACGGCTCTTTAATCTAGCAGGAAAAACACCACAGTGAGATCCATTGGCTGGAAGCTGAAACCAGACAAATTCAGAGTAGAAATCAGTTTGAACACAGAGGGTAATTAAGCACTGCGACCATTTCCTTGCAGGCTCAGTGGACTCTCCATCGGCCGGCGGGGCGGGGGCCACGGTGTGTGCGTGCGTGCCGGGGGCTGTGGTGTGTGTGTGCTGGCATGCGCCTCCCCTCCAGCTCTGGAGGTGCACTCTTGGTGAGCGAGCAGGAGCATGAGCGAGCAGCCACGGACCCCTCTAATGTGCTTCAGCAAGGATTCATCATTAGGGAGCAGGAAGGCATGATGGACGGGCTTCATTCCCTGCAGCATCCTGCCTCTGCTGTCTGTCCATCTGTCTGTCAGCAGATGCTTCCCAGTGCTGGGTGCTTGCCAGGGCTGGGGGCCATACCCTGGCTCCTGCTCCCTGCCCTGCCCCACAGCTGGGGGGCTGTGGGATGCTGCGTGCCTGGGCTGGCAGTGCGGGGGGACCTGTTGAGCCATGCCTGCCGTGCGGCTGAGCCCGGCTGACACTTGGTGATTTGTGAAGGTCAAGGACCGCTCCGACACTCTGCGCTCCCGCTCTCTAATCATCTTCCTGGTGCATGGCACTAGCTGAGTGCTCTGCTCCCTCAAGCGATGCTGCAGGGCTTCATCCTGCCCGGGGACGGCTCCTTCGTGTCCCCCGAGCAGGCATGGGTGCCTGCCGGGTGCGCTGCCCCGCACAGGCTGCGCTCGGTTAGTGGGGGGGCAGGTGGCTCTGCTGGCAGTGCTAGCCTGTCCCATGAGCTCCATAACTCAGCTCTACCCTCCACCGGCATCCAGCCGCCCTGGCAGCACCCCCTCACCTGCCGTGAATCCATCTTCCTCATAAAATTGTTGGAATGAGCACTTTTTATTGACTGAGCTGGCTGGGATTTATGGACTCTAACCTTCCAGCCATGGTGTGCTCTGCTACGATCGCTTGGGGGATCGGGCTGGGAACCTGGCTGAGTTATGTACCCCCTCCCCGGCACCACGCTGGCCCCACACTCCGGAGGAAACGGCGGAGCCGCTGGCAGCTTTGGGCTGCACCTGGCCCAGTGTCACAGCTGGAGCGGGGCCATGAATCCCCTCAGCCGCTGGCACAGCACGGTTTGGAAGTGGTGCCCACCAGCACCGATGCTGTGGGGCGGAGGGGAGCAGAGGGGTGGCTGCACCCTCGTGTCGTGGCAGTGGGAGACTCCTGCTCGTATTTTAAAATGAAGGTTGAAAAATGGGAGAGGAAGAAAAGTGCTACAGCTGTCATCTTTTAGGGCTGGAGAAAGTGCCCCACTGTGAGATAGTAAACGTGCACAACCCGTTTAGCTTATCAAAAAGAAGATCGAGAAGGGACTTGATTAGTGTGAGTAAGTGCCATCACAGAGAGGGGACCAGGGACTGTGAGGGCTCTTTAATCCAGCTGAGAGGCAGAACAAGAACTGCCGGCTGGAAAGCAAAGCCATACAAATTCAAATAAGAAATAAGGCATAAATTTTTAGCCACGCAGGTGATTAACCACCAGAACTTGCTCCTCAGTGGAGCTCTGGCTTTTCCATCTTGGCGTCTGGGGTGCCAATGGGCTGCTTCGGTGCATGTGCTGCAGACGGGACATGCCGAGCCTGGTGTTCCCACGTAGTGGGCAGATATCAGTCTTTCCTCCTGGCCTTGCTGTCATGCTCCTTGTTCCCCAAATGTATTTTGGGCAGCACGTCACTGTGGAAGGAGGGGTGTGCTTGGGTATATGTGCGCTGTCTCACCGGTGCCATTCCTACCATGTCCCCAGCGGGATTGCGGAGTGCAGCAAGTGAAGGGATGCTGGTAATGGGAAAAGCAAGTGAATGGCGTGAGAGCCCTGGTCGATAACTCCTAATATCTCAACTCCATGAATCCATCTGCAGTGCTGGGGCAGGGTGCGGGGGCCGGACCACTTCCTGGGGAGGGCTTGCTGTGGGTCAGGAGCTGACGTGGGGCGGGCATGCACGAGTTGCTCAGTGCTGTGCCGCTCCCACCCCTGCAGCTCTCGGGAGGTGAGAAGCGCCAGGAGAGCCAGCAGTCACCCCGCTTTGACTACTACCGGGCTGAGCCCGCCGCACCAGACCTCAGTGATGCTGAGCTGCCCCATGTCATCGAGATCTATGATTTCCCTTCAGATTTCCGAACTGAGGACCTGCTGCGTGTCTTCTGCAGCTATCAGTGAGTCTGCTTGGCATTGCCCCATCCCTGGTGCTGGGGTCTCCTGCCTGGGGTCTGCTCCAGACCCCTGCCTACCCGATGCCGATGCCTTGCTGAATTTCCCTCTCTCTGGCAGGAAAAAAGGCTTTGATATTAAGTGGGTGGACGATACGCATGCCCTGGGCATTTTCTCCAGCCCCATAACAGGTACTGCTCCCAGTTCAGCTGGGGATGGGCAGAGGGGAGGCATCCCTGCCTCTCCCATGGCTGGATCCTGGGCATGGGGCTGGCCCCACACAAAGACACCTCTGCTCTCTCCTTGCAGCACGCGATGCCCTCAGCACCAAGCACCTGATGGTGAAGACGCGCCCACTCTCCCAGGGCACCCGTGCCTCTAAAGCCAAAGCCAGGGCGTACACGGGTGAGTGATGCTGCCCCGTGCTGGCTTGTGTCATGGGGCTTGTGCTGCAGCATCTTCATCCTGGTTATTAGGAAGGGATGGAGCAGCCGGCACAGCTCCACAGTGCTTAAGTGCTGCAGAGCTGTGCCAGCTGCCTTGTCTGTCCCGGGATGCCCCTACTGATGTCCCCCATCTTTGCTCACCCAGACTACCTGCAGCCAGCCAAGGAGCGCCCCGAAACATCGGCTGCCCTGGCCAGGCGGCTGGTGATCGGTGCCCTGGGGGTACGCAGCAACCAGACGCCAGCTCAGCGAGATGCGGAGCGGAGGAAGCTGCAAGAAGCCCGGGGTAAGATTTGGATGCCCAGATGGGCTGTGGTGTGGGGGGACCCTCCTTGTGGATGCCCCTTCTCACAGGGTGCTGGGTGGGAGAGGGCTGTGCCAGGGTGGGCTCCTGACACCTCTACAGGGAAGTGGGTGGCTGTGGGGTGATGGGGATGCGGGGTTGACCCTCCTCTTGTCTCTGCAGAGAGGAAGCGCTTGGAGAACAAGCAGCGAGAGGATGCCTGGGAGGGCCGGGACTGAGTCAGGAGGCTGCACCTTCAGCCCCTCTGGGAACCCCCCTGGGGTGCCCAGGCCCCTCTCTGTGGGCAGACAGGGCACCCTGCATCTCAGAGCTGGGATGGATCCTGCACCGCCTCCCAAAGCACTGGGCTGCTCCACCGAAAGGGCTGAGCAGGATGCGTGCAGGCTGGTTGGTGCCGTGCGGATGCTGTGCCGTCA